ACGTCTGTCCTACTGTCGTACATTACACAAACCTCTATCTACGTCTGTCTTACACGTCTGTCCTTCTGTCGTACATTACACAAACCTCTATCTACGTCTGTCCTACTGTCGTACACTACACAAACCTCTATCTACGTCTGTCGTACACGTCTGTCCTACTGTCGTACACTACTGAAAACCTCTATCTACGTCTGTCGTACACGTCTGTCCTACTGTCGTACACTACACAAACCTCTATCTACGTCTGTCCTATTGTCGTACACTACACAAACCTCTATCTGCGTCTGTCCTACTGTCGTACACTACACAAATCTCTATCTATGTCTGTCTTACACGTATGTCCTACTGTCGTACACTACACAAACATCTATCTACGTCTGTCCTACTGTCGTACCCTACACAAACCCCTATCTACGTCTGTCGTACACGTCTGTCCTACTACTGCACAAACCTCTATCTACGTCTGTCCTTCTGTCGTACACTACTGAAAACCTCTATCTTCGTCTGTCGTACACGTCTGTCCTACTGTTGTACACTACACAAACCTCTATCTACGTCTGTCTTATACGTCTGTCATTGGGTGTGACATTTACCAAAAACTGATCTAATCCCCTAAAACGTTTTAAATTGCTCCAAATATACCCATTACAAATTCTCAGGTCCCTGTACTTTGCATCACAACAATACAACGCACAATGCTGTGAACGTTAAGCTGTGTTATTAATGTAGCGGTGTTCATACTCTAGCAATGTTCTTGCTCTAACAGTGTTCCTACTCTAGCGGTGTTCACATACTCTAGCGGTGTTCCTACTGTAGCGGTGTTCCTACTCTAACGGTGTTCCTACTCTAGCGGTGTTCATACTCACTCTAACGGCGTTCCTACTCTAGCGGTGTTCACATACTCTAGCGGTGTTCACATACTCTAGCGGTGTTCCTACTCTAACGGTGTTTCTACTCTAGCGGTGTTCATACTCTAGCGGTGTTCATACTCTAGCGTTGTTCCTACTCTAACGGTGTTTCTGCTCTATCGGTGTTCATACTCTAGCGGTCCCCATACTCTAGCGGTGTTCCTACTTTAGCGGTGTTCTACTCTAGCGGTGTTCACATAATCTAGCGGCGTTCCTACTGTAGCGGTGTTCCTACTGTAGCGGGGGTTCCTACTGTAGCGGGTGTTCCTACTGTAGCGGGTGTTCCTACTGTAGCGGGTGTTCCTACTGTAGCGGGGTTCCTACTCTAACGGTGTTCCTACTCTAGCGGTGTTCATACTCACTCTAACGGT